AGGATAGGATAGGATAGGATAGGATAAGATAAGATAAGATAAGATAAGATAAGATAAGATAAGATAAGATAAGATAAGATAAGATGATAAGATAAGATAAGATAAGATAAGATAGACAGAGACAGAGGGGTCTCCTGCTTGAGCAGGGGGCTGGACTAGAAGACCTCCAAGACCCCTTCAAGCTCTATTCTGATTGAGAATCAGTGCCATGGGATTGACATTTGCTCCCTTTTGTGTATTCATACACTCCTAGTGGCCATATAAATTGTCCAATCTTGGCAAATGTTAAGATTTGTGGATTTCAATTTCCAGAATTGAAGTCCCCTCCATGCTGGTTTAGTGGCTAAGATGCTGAGCTTGTTGATCAGAAAGATCAGCAGTTCGGCGGTTTGAATGGATGAGCTCCTGTTACTTGTCCCAGCTTCTGCCAACCTAGCAGTTTGAAAGCATGTAAAAATGCAAGTAGAACTCTTCCACAGTCATTACTTGTATTCATATCAAATGTCAAAGATTCCTACAATTAGCACGAAAGCTAATTGTAACCAATTGACACCCTTTCTACAAGATGTAATGTAAGATGATGGGTTTTTTTGTGTTGTTTGTTTAATAAAAATAAAAATTTCTTGCAAAAAAAAATGCAAGTAGAAAAATAGGAACCACATTTGGTGGGAAGGTGACAGCGTTCCGTGCACCTTCAGCATTTAGTCATGCTGGCCACATGACCACGGAGATGTCTTCAGGTAGTGCTTGCTCTTCGGCTTTGAAACGGAGATGAGCACCGCCCTCTAGAGTTGGGAATGACTAGCACATACGTACAAAAGGAAACTTTACCTTTATCATGCTGGGGAATTCTGGGAGTTGAAGTCCATATTTGCCAAGATCAGACACCCTGATTTATATGATTGCTAGTCCTACACAAAGAGAGCAAATATCAATGTCCCATTGCAGTGTTTCTGAACCTTGGCAACTTTAGAATTAACATCCCTGATATAGATTCCTTCATGACAGTCTGTCTCCAGCCTGATCCCTCAGATCTTCCAACAATATATCACTATTTTCCTTGCTGTTGCTCATCCTCTTCTTTTTCCTTGCTCCTTTCCAGCATTAGAGCCCTCTGTAAGAGTCGAGTCTTTTGCACAATGTGTCTGAAAGTAAGATAATTTCAGCTTGGTTGCTTTGCTTTCTTGGCCATCCATGGAATTCTCAGGAGTTATGAGCATCAATGATTTTCCTATCTTGGTTCATTTACTTTGATATGGTGTCCCCTGGAAATACTTTCGCTTGCATGCTTCTGATTTTGTAGGTATAGACTTAGCATTTGATCATCTTTTCCAAGAGTATCACAATACTGCTTGTAAAAACGTTAACTATCTTGGACAACGTTGGCCTGCTGATTCTCTGAGACTCAAGGATACTAATACATTATAGAAACCTCGAGGGTAGAGGGGCTATTTAACCAGTTTCAACCCTTAGGAAAGTAAGGATGTTACCCTTGTATCTCAAATCTGCTTTTCCAAAAGGCAATATGATTTTCTTGGCCCGCCCCCCCCTTGAAAAATGTTTCACTTTTCATCCAAGAAGCGTCTTCGGTGAAGACGTTCTTCACTGAAGAAACTTCTTGGATGAGAAGCAAAAACATTTTCAAGGAAAAAGAAACCCCAAGAAAATCCAGTTGCCTTTTGGAAAACCACATTTGGGACAAGATGACCCATGATCTGGATGATTGAGAATCTCCGTAGATGTGATTATGTACACCACCTTAGCTATAGAAGGTCATGGCACTCAGTGCAGGGTTATAGGTAATCCCTGATTTATGACCATAATTGAGCCCAGAATTACATTGTAGAAAGCAATGTTGGTTCTGGACCCCTTAATGTTCTCAAGCAGTGGTTCTCAACCTTTCCTTCAGGTAGATCCTTAGAATCTTAGCTTAGAATCAAGGTCAGGTGAAGTATCAGTGCCGCTTTATAAAACCCTAGTAAGACCACACCTGGAATAGTGCAACTATGGTCACTATACTACAAAAAAAAGAGGTTGAGACTTTGGAAAAAGTTGAGAGAAGAGCGACTAAGATGATCAAAGACCTGGAGACAAAACTATATGAAAAACGGCTACAAGATTTGGGTTTGGCTAGTCTAAAGGAAAAGAGGACTAGGGACATGATAGCAATATTCTAGTATTTCAGGGGATGCCACAAAGAAGAGTGGGTCAGATTGCCTTTAGAAATCGTGGGTGCTCCATCACTGGAGGTTTTTAAGAAGAGACTGGACAGTCCCTTATCTGAAATGGTATAAGTTCTCCTGCTTGAGTAGGGGGCTGGACTAGAAGACCTCCAAGGTCCCTTCTAGGTTTATTCTATTAAACTTAAACTATTGTGTTTCTGTGAAAGTATTTCAGAGGTGGTATTCAGCAGGTTCTGACCAGTTTTGAGGAACCGGTAGTGGAAATTTTGAGTAGTTCAGAGAACCGGTAAATACCACCTCTGACTGGCCCCACCCCCATCTATTCTCTGCCTCCGGAGTCCCAGCTGATCGGGAGGAAATGGGGATTCTGTTTCCCCTGGAGTGGGGAGGGAATGGAGATTTTACAATATCCTTCCCCTGCCATGCCTACCAAGCCACGCCATGCCCACAGAACTTCAAAAAAAATTAATCCCATCACTGGAATAGTTGTTCTTTGTAACTTTCTAATCTAATGTCTGCAGGGTATTGCATGTAGAGAGGGTGGGGTTCACTTAAACGATTAGTATGTTAGGAGATTAGCTCACTCTGCACTGAAGTAGTTATAGATGTTCTTCATCTGGAATCGCATTATGCAGATTTCGGTGAAAAATATAGATTGTACTTTACTGCAAAGGGAGAGAACTAGTTATAAGCAGAAATGATGAAAATAACAACCATGGGATTTGTTTTTGGTTTTTTAATGTCAGTTAATAAAATATTTGTATAGAGCCCCAAAATTTCAAAATAGTGCAAAACATCTCACTATCATGCATCCATTGTTGGTAAAACCATTGCTCAATCCACTTCAGGTATGTATGTACAGAACAGACAACATGAAAACATATTCCAACATGTGTGCTACACAAACAGAATTAACTTCATTTTATTGTTTGGGGATTTAAAATTTATTGTGATCCATTTTGTTGTTCGTTTCAACTACATGCCAAAGAGAAAAAAATTGAAGGAGGAACCAGTTTGGGGGGGAAGATGGAGGGAGATGCCTACCCTTGGCTTCTTGTCATCTCACTGTGCTGGATAGGGACGGTGCCAGATTTGTTTGTGCCAAAGTGTGCTGGAGACAGAAATGGAAATTTTTGCTTTACCTCCCCTGCAGTCTTAAGAGGATTTCAAGACAAGGCTTTTATTGTGCGATTGTCCTGCCTTGTTCACAGAATTTTGCAGAAGATCCAGACAACTTTTCATTTGTAACCTACACATTTTCCTGCTGTTGGTGCCATCTTGCCCCAGAAAAAAATCTGTTAAGGAGGGAAGAGATGAAATCACCTTGCCACAGGTTTTGATTTGCTAGCCACAATAGCTGTCTGCCTGGATGCAACTGTTGCCTAAAGCTTCCCCCCACCACCACCTTTTTATTTTTTTCCCCAAATGCGATTTATATAAGTCTGGTGGATTGTGCATATGTCTGTGTGTAAACATTCAACTCAAAATCCTGATACTTTGGTCCCAAGCAATTCATAAAAAAATTAAACATTTTTGAAAAAGAGGAGGGACAAATGGGGGTGGGGGAAGAGAGAGTTCTGATTAATAGAGGGAGGAGTTAAGCTTGGAAGTAGGTTTGTGCAGTGTTTGGAAGAGGTGACTATGCATTTTCCAGCGAGGGGATGTATCAGGTTTAGGTGGACATCACTGTCTTTCTTTCTGGGCATTCTTCAGTGTTTTCCACTACATGTCCAAAAATGACTTGGAAATCTTTCAATCTCCAGATGTCGGGGAGATCAAAGATCATAGGTGGAATACCTACATTACATGCAGAAGATCCCGTTCTTGATTTCTGCTTTTAACAGGATCCCATTGGAGGTGGAAGGGAGGAATGAGCTGCCAATCAGGTGCAAAATAGTTAAGGGCAGAATGAAAAAAAATAATCTGCCTGATGTAAGGCACCTTTCTAGGAAGCCAAGATAGTTATCAGCTTGATCTAACTGGTTCAGAGCTGCCCAACCAGTGAGAGTTGATCCCGTATCAGATAGCAAACAAGGAATGAGAATAACGAGTTGTATTTCAGTGGCAGAGGAGCAAACTGGGATGGGGTGGGGGGCAGATAAGCAAGGACACCAACTGATGGGTTGGGTGATCAGTTCAATCCATATATCTGTAAAGTCATAGAAGCATATGGACAGAACTGGCCAAGCTGTTACGATTGATGCAGCTTTCAGAAAGAGAGCCCTTCTGCAGATGTGACGTCAGTGAGGAGATTTAGGACAGTCATGATGATCATTTAACTTTTCCAAAAGTTGGGCCATCCTCAGCAATCCCATAAACAACTGCTCTCTTCAGAACATTGCTCCTTTGGACCTCATGCTCCTCCCACCCCATATATCTCCTCCCTTTAATGTTCAGCCTTTGTCTCTCTCCTGGAACCTCTCAAACCTTGAATTCTTTCCAAAATTACATACTGTAATCCCGCACCTACAAGGCCCTATTATCTTCTTACTGGTAGTGGAACAAATACTGCAGTGACACTCCACGTTCACATACCTCTCCCTCATTCCCTCTACATTCACAAGAATAAACCAGCTTAGTTTAGGTGTGTTATCTGAATAGAGCCAGGAATTATGACACACTGGAAAAAGAGCCAGGGCCAAACCCATTGATCAAATGTTCCTTTCCTTGAGTAAAATAAAATTGCTTGAATTAGCACACATGCGCCATGCTGTTGTTACCAAGTGTGCAGAAAGGTTGCCTACAAAATTTCCCCTGGCTGAATTTTTCCATGTACCCATGCATTCTGAAATACCTGGTTTTATTTCCAGATTGGGCATTTACGACTGTCCATTTTTTCACTTCTAAGATACTTAACGTTCTTATTACAATTTTCAGTCTTGAAACTGTCCTCTGTTCTCCCGTGCATTACTTTTGTACGTTCGTGTGTAAACAAACGCCACAAAAAGAAGTGAATCATGAGATAATTGTGACGGTAGCAAGAGTGCAGTGTGATGTTTTGCCAATGCTCACAGCCGATGTTCACGAACATCGATAAAACCTCACCCAGTATTGTGATGCAACCAAGATTTGAAGGTGGGGTAGTGTTTCAATGCATATACATTGCATGTACAAATAGTAACTCAAGGGTTTGAAATGTGTGCATGAGACAGGGGGGGAAAATGACACAATGGAACTGTTAAGACTGTAGCAAAGTGCATGCTTCACTTCTGGAATTAAATCCAGAACTTCTTAATGGAAAGGAACTTCTTAAAGGGAAATGAAATGGGGAAAAAAGTCCTAAAATAACAGAACAGAAAAAAAGGAAGCCATAGCCCTTCAGATGATGGACTACATTCCTAACATTATCTGATTGCTGGGCTTCCTTGAAGGCCACAGCAATAAAAGAGTTTCATGCTGATCCCAAGGTGGTGAAATGCCTAGCTGCCATTCTCTAGCTTTGCCTCAGTGAGCTGATAACTTGGTGCTAGAATTGCAGGGAAGATTCGGATGTTATTTCTTTAGCTCTGCTGAAATAGGGTGAAGACAAAGAAAGCTACCTTTCCCAGTATTACATATTTGTAACTTATCCTTATTTCCACTTGGCACAGGGATTTCGATTTTATTTAGAGTCGGCTGCTAGTTCAATCCCCAGCATTTTCAGTTCACAAATTAGGCAGCATGTAGTGGGAAATATTCTTCCACCACTGAGACCTCAGAGCAATGTTTCTCAGCCTTGGCAACTTATGATGGGTCGACTTCAACTCCCAGAATTCCCCAGCCAAGCATGCTGACTGGGGAATTCTGGGAGTTGAAGTCCAGTCATTTTACTGATACTAAGATTGAAAAACATCTGCCTTAGATAGCAGCTGCCAATCCACGCTGGAAATACTGGGTTGGTTGACAAACACCTTGATTAAATGGAAGGCAGCTTCTGATGTTTATCAGACAAAAATGTGCCAGGAAAGAGGGGATGGCGGGAGCTTATGCCAAAATGTAGTCAGCAGCATCTTTGATTTTTGTTAGAATCCTTTTCAGGGACAAACTCTTCACTCTCTCACCTCTCTCTGCTTCATGGGGGAATTTTGGCAATGCACATGTATTTGAGAAGGTGTGCGCGACGTGTGATCCTTGGCAGCGGGAGCAAACCTCCCAAATGAAAGAGGTGAGGAGCAGGAAGGGCCAGGGTGAAGGGGCAGAAGAAAGGACAGCTCTGAAAACTCTATGGCTTTGACATGGCTGTATAAAAGAGGGAAGGGACCAGGAAGAGAAGGGAAGGCAATTCTAGCAGACTGTGGAAAGGGAACAAGTGGGAGGGGGAAGTCAGGGGGAGGCAGATTGGTCTTAGCTGCTGCTGCCCTCCTCGGCTGAGCGCGTATCTGACTTCAATTTGACAAACTCCTTGGCCACCTCGTCATTGTTTCTCTGCGAGAGGATGCGCAGCACCGTGAGGCCCGTGTCATCCATGTGAATGCGCCGGCCCAGCGGCAGCCAGCAGGCACAGCTGCCCCGCTGCACGATGTCCTTCAGCTGCAGGATGGCGATGCCCACCGTTCGGTCTTCCCGTGCAAAGCAGTAGTCTTTGACGCAGACTTGCAGCTCGTAGCACTCTGGGCCTGTCTCAGTGCCGAGGGTGCTGGAGGTGGAGGAGGAGGAGAGGAAAAGCAGGAAACGATAAGGTTTCAATTTGCAACCGAAAATTCTTGCCTCCATCTTATGAAAAGGACATAGGTTGAAATCTATAGAGGCCACATTAGCTCAGGGTCCTCCTTGGCACACTATGCTGATCCATGTTTTGCTCTCATTTTCACAGCTAGTTTCCAAACTGTTACTCATAAATTATGACCAGAGGAAACTTTTCTCTGCCTGCCTCTCTATGTCCTTCTCCCTTGCCGGGCTTTTCAGAATGGACACTTTTGATTCTTACATGTATTGACTCAGTGATACCGTTGATGCAGATTGTTAGCTGATGAAATGTCTCAGATTGACTGTGATACACCACTAGGTAATGCATCAAGGTACTTGATTCTCAATCCGTGCTGTATTTACAACCAGCACTTGCAATGCAACTTTCCACAGGATGGATGCAAGCTGCAATGTTGCCTCTTGCAATTTCATTTAGCAATAGCAGTAGCACTTATATACCGCTTCATAGTGCTTTTACAGCCCTCTCTAAGAGGTTTATAGAATCAGCCTATTGGCCCCAACAATCTGGGTCCTCGTTTTACCCACCTCGGAAGGATGGAAGGCTGAGTCAACCTTGAGCCTGTTG